ATTGTTATTATTTTGGTTTTAGTTTTTGTTGTTGTTTTTTGTGGTGGGGGATTGTTTGTTTTGTTTTTGGTGTTGTTTTTTGTTTGTTTGTGTGTGTGTGTTTGGGGGGGGGGTATATTTTGCATCTTACAATAGCTAATGATCATAAATTCAAAATAGAAATAGTTGATACGAGAGATCCTCTGATCGGAGACATCAGTAGATCAATACAGCCACGCAGCCTGACTCCTAAAGGAATTAAATAGAGAACTGAGCTCCTGACTGCCTCCTTGAGTATCTGAATATCAAATGTGACACAAAAAATACATCATAAACCAAAATACAACACTTGTAGACTTTGAACCCTACTATAGCGAAACTAAGCTTCTGCCACTATATTTTCAAGCTGCTAAATTTTGTTATAGTTTCACTAAGAGTTTTACGGCACTCACAATTGCATAAGGTCATATGAGGGCGCGAAACACAAGTTGTTTGCATTCACAACAGTTCACTGCACGGCTTGGCTTGGGTCAACGATCAGATTTTTAAATGTTAGAAACTTTAGATAAAATAACAATCTAAAAATGATAACCTGCTGAAAATTGAAATAACTGTATTTACAATTTTTCGTAAAGGCCAATGGCCTTTCTGAAATCAAGCATTCTGTTGGCATCGACAATGGAAAACAGATCTTGCGATTTTTTTCACCTAAAATATTTCCTTCGGGTCTCTCCGAAGTCTAGACATTCTGTTAAAATGTGTCTAATGGTAAAATCTGTGTTGCATCCGACACAGAACGGCTTCTCATCTCCCTGAAGGGGGTAAAAATATGTATGTGTCAGGGACGTGTGTCCGATGCGTAATCGAGTAAAAATGACTTCGTCTCTTCTGGAGAGGCCCGAAGGTTTTCGAGGACCCAGTTTGGGCATAATGTTGTGTAGTTTATAGTTGGTTTCATTCTTCCAGAGAGTCCCCCACAGACTGAGGGTGTAGTTTTTTTACTTTATGAGTGTTCGTCATTGATCCCAGCAGAATGGACAAGGGATTTTTTTTGCCAGGAGATCCGCCTGCTAGTTACCTCGGATGCCCACATTGATAAGTAGTCATGCGAACACGACTTTTCGCAGTTTCAGTCAAAGCGTGTATTTTTTGTTGCAATCTAACTATTTTTGGGTGCAAGACTGTGTAGTTTGTAAGTGAGGTTATGCAACACAGAGAGTCAGAGGGCTAAAAATGAAAAGAAATTTGCTAATGGAGGAAAAATAAAGGAAGAAAGAAACAATGAAAGAAAGAAAGAAGAAAGGACGTAGAAAGACGTTTTAAAAACGAAGAAAGAGAGAAAAACAGAACGAAAAAGGAAAAATTAAAAAAAGAAAGAAAGAACGAAGAAAGAAAGAGAGAAGGAGTCACAAGATGAAAGAAAGAAGAAATTGTAAAAGAAGAAAAATAGAAACAGAAAGTAAGAAATCCGCCCTGGATGACACACCAGAGTTGACGTAAGTAGCCACGACACGGTGATCAATGATTGATCTGAGAACCTAGGCGCACAGATGCAAAACTTGACAGGCTGAATCATGCGGGGAGCAATCACAGTCGACATGTCGTCTAATGGATGTTTCTTAGCCGGTGACCGACCGCAGACTAGCCCAGAAATTATTGCGATCTTTTCGCGCTGCGACATGCTTGAACATCTATAATTTATTTGTAGAGGCACCAGCCATCCATGTCCAGGTGCTGTTTTAGCCACTGCGCCATGCTTCTCATGGGTAGGAATTAAATTAAATCGAACTGAATTAACTCAAATAAGACACGACCTCATATTGTTAAAATAAGTTAAAAGGGTCTTTTGCGAATGACGTCACAGCGATCTACATGAATATATATA